AACTGTTGTGGACCACCAATCACTGTGACTCCAGGTATATCTACATTTGCAAAACGAAGCAGAAATCTCATATATAACTAATAAATATCTTATATTTTTAAGAATCATTAATTCAGTTCCGCACCGTTTTGGCACTGATAATGAAATAAGAATCTTTCCGCCTATTAAGGCCCATTAGGCAACTTGCCCTACGCCTTTCAAACCAGTGTCAATTAAGGAGCATAATTATCTATAGCTTAGTCATCTCGACCCTATAGTTGGTTGTCCCTCAGACTTTAAAGATAACGAGACTCTGATGGGTGTTCAAAAATATGTGATCTAATGTTTGTATATAAGTTAAAGGATTAAAGAGGACGCATCGATTCTCTGTGACTCTGAGTTTCGCGCCTAAGCGCTCGTCAGGCAGAAAAAACTTTTAAGGTAAACTTTTAAAGGTAAACTTTTTAAGGTAAACTTTTTAAGGTAAACTTTTAAAGGTAAACTTGTAAACTTTTAAGGCCAAGTGAGACTTTTGCTTGGAAAGCAAGATGAACCATCTCAGTTTCACAAGAAAAACCTCAGGTTTCATTTATTAAAAATGCTCATTACTTACAATGCACTTCCAAGGTAGTGCCACTGGACGTAACATTTCCAGGACTATTTTCCGCGACACATCGGTACACTGCACTGTCTGTTCTGCGCACATTCTTGATAGTGAGTTGCTTTCCTTCGTAAGACAACTTAATTCTGGAACTGTTATTAGTGTCCAAGGAAAATCCATTTGTGGTCCATGATATTGTCGGTATTGGATTTCCAGTGGCGTTGCAAAATAAAATCATTTTGTCTCCTTCGGTTCTCTGAATCATTCGTGGAAGAGGGCTGATCTCGGGTTTATCTACAGTCGTTAAAATAAGACAAGGAAAATCATCAACAGATCATATTATAGAAAAGAAAGTGCCATTTTCAGTTGCCTCGAAAAGAGGTAGATCTGTCCCTTAGAAGTCGAAGCAGCCCAATTGGGGAACAAAATTTGAAACGGTGGAGACTGCGAGTCATAGATTGATCTAAAATATGTTCAGTTCAAAGCACGAGCAGATGACGTTATGATACCTTAAGCTTAAGTAATAAAATAAAGATTGTAACTAGTACATGGACATAACGCACCTATCAAATGAACAAGTTGTTCATTGATTAAACATATAGCAGTGCCAATCAATCACATTTTGATTGAGATTCTAACCCTTATACTCCTAAGAGAGACTAGCATCTAATTTATCCTTTAAATAGCACCCCTGAATCGAACATTAAGGTCATGATATGAAAAGAAATGATCACCAACCAACGAAGCTTTTGATTGTTATACAGATTCTCCTTGTAAGCAGCTTAGGAAATGTATAAAGAACAGTATGGAAAATATGAATACTGATACAAGGGTGTAGAGGGTTATTTGAGTGGATAAAATGTAAAATGCGCCAAAGACTGAAGGTTTCCTTAAGGCTCTCAAATGTGATAATGTTTAAGAGCGTGTCCACGAGAGCACCGTGCAGTCGTACTACATGCCATCTCACCGGTTTCAGTGAAACTTTGCCAGTTTAAAGGGTCTACCCCAAAAATCAAAAAGACAAACTGGTTTCTGTTTTGGTTTTTTCCAGGGGGAGATAGACCACCCCCCCCCCCCCCCCTGTTTTTCTTAGTTTTCACCAAGGACATCGCTTCAAAATAAGTAAAATGTATGAAGCTCTCACTGCGATACTATTTAACCAATTACTCTGAGAGTTTGCACACATATTATTACATCCTTAGTTAATGTCCGCCGCAAGTATCAGTCAATTTGATTGCCGGCTTTTCAATCAACAGAGGCAAATATACGACTGTGTTTTTAGACTTTTCGATTCACCCAAATATTTAACAACTTTGAGGTCATCTCCCGTTGACTGAA